TTGCAATATTACTTTTACTGTTACCAGTAATATTGTTTATATATTTTTCATTATCAACACTATTGCTTTGTTTCGTCATTAGTCTGTTAATATTTTATTTGTGTTTCACACACACACACACACACACACACACACACACACACACACACACACACACACACACACACACACACACACACACACACACACACTCTTCTCTCTCTTCTCTCTCTCTCTCTCTCTCTCTCTCTCTCTCTCTCTCTCTCTCTCTCTCTCACTCACTCACTCACTCACTCACTCACTCACTCACTCACTCACTGAACATACTAACACTAATAGATACATTTCTTAAAATGAAATTTAAAGAGGCTTATTTCCATTTTCAACAAAAGAATGACGAGAAACGACATTATTTCCATAAGGGTTGGTATTGTCATGTTAGGTAATAGTGACGATAGTTCTGAAGTATTCAAGTATTGCTTGAATACTATTGTTATTGTCATGATGAGTACTGCTATTGCTACTAGTACTACTACTACTACTACTACTACTACTACTACTACTACTACTACTATACTACTACTACTACTACTACTACTACTACTACTACTACACTACTACTACTACTACTACTACTACTACTACTACTACTACTACTAATCTACTACTAATACTTTTGATAATGATTATACTACTAATGCTATTAATATTACCAACATTATTGGTATCTTTATTTTTTGTTATTAACGTCATTATAGTTATTATTTATTATTACTAATTATTATTATTATTACTAATTATTATTATTGTTGTTACCATCGTTGTGTATATCACTGTTTTTATTTTGTCATATATTATAAATATGTGTATTATTAATAGAGCGTTATTTATTATTTCAGAATGAATAATCCCGTAATCTACTCTGATAACGAGGTTGACAGCGCCTGAGGAACTAGGGTAGGTGGGCGTTGTTAGAGAAGTATAGCTATCCGCACGAGAGACCAGGCATACAGTGTCATCACCAACCTCAGTCTCAGAAGACTATCAACATGGCTCCCGTTGCCAAGCCCAAGAAAGCTCCAAGGACATCGACTGGACCAAAGAAGCGTGGCCGACCTAAGGGATCAAAAAATAAGGTTGCAGCTAAAGGCCCTTCAAAGGTTGCCAAGGGTACGACAAAAGCAGCCAAAGGCAACTCTAATCCAGTTAAATTTGCTGAACTCGTTCTAGCTGCGTTTGAAGCTCTGGATAACCGCAAAGGAACTTCCCTTCAGGCAGTCAAGAAGTACTTGAAGGAAAACAATAACATTGACGCCCGGAAGAAGTCTGTTTACATCAACAAAGTAATCAAGAACATGAGTGACAACGGGATTATTCTTCACGTAATTGGTAAAGGCGCCAGAGGAAGCTTCAAGTTGGCCAATAGTCAGAAGTTCAAGCATGGAAATTCAAGTTCCCTGAAGTTCTCCAAGCACGTGCTGGCAGCCTTGGAGGCTTTGGATAACCGAAAGGGATGTTCTCTCCAGGATATTAAAAAGTACCTGAAGGAGAACAAGGGTGTCGATCCAAAGAAAAAGGCTGTTCACATCAATAATGCTATCAGAGCCCTGACTCAAGAGGGGAAGTTCCGCCAAGTTGTCGGAACAGGAGCCAAAGGCCGTTTCAGGTTGCAGAAGGAAGATGTGATTGCACCTAGCTTTTCGGACCTTGTTTTTGAAGCTTTCAAGGCTCTGGATAATCGCAAGGGATCTACTCTGCAAGCTGTGAGGAAGTACCTGAAGGAAAACAATGGGGTTGATCCCCAGAAGAAGGCTGTCTATATCAACAAGACCATACGAAGATTCCTAGAAGATGGAACACTCCAGCACTTGATCGGTTCTGGAGTCAAGGGAACATTCAAACTATGTAAAGATCAGCCACCACCGAGGGTCAGTCACAAGAAAACAAGTAAGAAAGCAAGTAAGGAGGAGGAAACTCCCAAAGAGGAGGAAGTGATTGAAGAAGATGCAGATGCCAGTGAAGAAAAGTAGTCTGTTCTTCGTTTGTATTTGACAGCTTGGATCGTCTTCTAGATTTAGCGAGAGGTTTTGGAGATTTTTTTTACAAATCAATAAAAGTTTTACATTTTCTGTTTGTTTGCTTCAGTGAGTCTTAACCTATGTTAAACATACTTGTATATAACTTTAGACCCATTATGTTACATAGGAATGCTGAAAGGGAAAATTACTTTGTTTTTAGGGGGTCTTTATAGCTTAAATATTGTGCATATATATATATATATATTTAGTCCCAAGTCGTATGCAGATAATGTCGTAAGTCACATATCCCATGTATTCATAGCCTTTTAATATGTGTCTATATTTTGTAAGTAGAACAATAAATAGTACAATTTTTAAAGCATGATAGAAATGGTAAGATAAGGTATTTGTTAGTAATAATTTTATATTAACACTGATGATAACAACCATAACAACAATGAGGTTAATAACGATTGGTCTTTGTATAATGTTTTAAAGGAATTTCGTACACCGAGCAGCTGTGAAGGCTGATGAAAAGTAATTTTGCCATACGCAGTTACTTAGCTCACATTTTAGTCACCAGATTATCTCTTGGTTACACACACATACACACACACACACACACATATATATATATATATATATATATATATATATATTATATATATGTATGTATATACATAAGTATATACATATATAAGAATATATATATACATATGTGTGTTTATGTATGTATATATATATATATATATATATATATATATGTATATAGATATATACACAAACATTTTTAATGTTTGTATGTATATGTGTACACACGCACACAACCATAGATACTCATATACACATCCAGACATATGCAATGTATGTATGCATCTGCATACATGCATACGCATCTACACAACATGCTGTTAATGTATATGTATGTTAATGCATACACATGTATGCACATATGTCTGCATGCCTGCACATATCCATTTTGATACACAAAGTGAATTGTGAGCTAAGTAGAATCGTTCAAATATTACTGTTGTAATTTTTGTAGCCTTTATATTCAGATATACTACTACTGCTAATGTCCATATTATTATCATTATTTATTATATTATCATTCATTGGGGAATTTTCATTTGTTGTGTCCTTTATTATGAGTACTTTTTTAGATTTTATTTATTAGCAGTAGTACTATTTTCATAAATTTTGGTATCATTGTTGTTTCCCATACTGTTAGGTTTAATTTTTAAGTGTAATAATGCTAAGGTTGATGTTAGTATTATGATCCTATTATATCCCCTTTTCATAAATATTCGTATGCAATATCCTTTATAAGATGATGTGCAGTATAAATAACACGAAATACCCTTGTATTTTTGTTATGTCAGATAAATGAGTAATAATTTTTACCTTTTTTCTTTTTTACATGAATTGTAACCCAAATATTAACCCTCCATTTAGATACCTCTTGACTTTTCATTCAGTTGCAAGGTTTGATTATTGTTAGAGGTTTATACACCAGCATCTAAAAGGCTTCCCAACTTCAAATATATATTTACTTTTTGGTACATATCTATACGCAAGTTAATATAATTTTGCTTCAAATGGGGGTTGTACCAAGAATGATAATAATCAGCAGCTGGGAGAGATATTGATTGTTCTAGAGAATAGTAACTAAAGATTCAAATCGTTTCATAATTACATTAATTAATTTCCTCATGGTTTATTCGGTTATTCGGTGATTTGAAACAACGCGTAATGAAACATCACCAAACATAAGATAAATAGAAATAATATCATAAATATATATATTATATATATATATATATATATATATATATATATATATATATATATATATATATTTATATATATATATATATATATATATATTTATGTATGTATATATTTAATGACATGCAACACCTTAAACATACTTAAAAGTAATAGAAAATTAAAAAGTTAAAGGTCTGAAATTAACAAAATAAACATATAGTATGCTGATAGTCTAAGCATGTGCAAAAAATTAAAATAAAAGGAGACTCCTGAGAAGGGGAAATCACAGGCAGAACAGAGGACATAATCCATATATATATATATATATATATATATATATATATATATATATATATATATATGTATTTCATATATATATATGTATGTATATTATATATATAATATATAATATATTATATATATATATATATATATATAATTTATTTGTTTATTTATTTATATTAATTTATTGTACACATCTACAGTGAACACTTTACATATACATCATACATAAATTACTAGACGTTTTATATATACATACATTTCATAAAGGCACACATACACATGCATACATATATATATATATATATATATATATATAATATATATATATATATATATATATATATATATATACCGATAGATACACATTATTATTATTAACATATGAATATATACTTACATATATATCACATATATTATTATATGTATATATATATATATATATATATATATATATATATATATGATACAAGTATATGAAGTATATATACATATATATATATATATAGTATTATATTATATACATATATATCTGTCAATATATATATATATATATATATATATATATATATATATATATAATTTATCTATCTATATAAATATGTGCATATATATATTTATATACATATATACACATACACATGCATGTATTTACATGCATATATATAGGTGTGTGTCTTTAAGTATATATATATATATATATATATATATATATATATATATATATATATATATATATATATATATATATATGTAATATATGTACAGGGCCGCCGTTAGGCGACAAGGGCCCCTGGGCAAAGAAAAGGGCCGGGCCCTCAGGGCCAGATCCTTTTTAGGTGGGAAGTGCCTTTTTCAAATAGGAAACGCCCATTTTCCCTTAAACTTTTATGTTAATATAAACTAGGTTACTCGAAATTACAATCAAGAACTTGCAATCAAGAATATATTTCTAATAACACACAACTCAAAAATATCGCTAGTTTGGAAGATTGAGATCATTTTTTAAACCACCCTTATTTTTATTTCATTTATAATAGCAAAGTCTTGTTAACGTTAACTGCTTTAACGTTCTTTGAGTATAAATACATCCTCAAAATTTGCTGACTTCTTCTTGGGCTCAAATAAGCAATTACTGTAAAATTTTACGGGCCCAGGGGTCGTTGCCCTGCTTACCTCCGCCCCCTCTCGACGGTCCTGTATGTGTATATATATATATATATATATATATATATATAATATATATATATATATATATATATGCTCTATTGGAGAGGAAAACCTCTGGGTAACAAACAGGAATTAGGGGTAGGATTCTTAATACACACACGCTTAGAAAAGAACATTGTAGAATTCTATAGTGTCAGCGAAAGAGTGGCTTCTGTAACAATAAAACTAAACACTAGGTACAACTTAAAAATTATTCAAGTCTATGCTCCAACCTGCAGCCACAGTGATGAAGAAATAGAGAGCTTCTATGAAGATGTTCACTTAGCCAGCGAGAGAACAAAATCCCATTTCACAATAATTATGGGGGATTTTAATGCCAAAAATAGGTAAAAAGACAGAGGGCGAAACCGCAGTAGGGAACCATGGAATAGGCACTAGGAACGAGAGGGGACAAATGCTAGTCGACTTTGCGGAGGCTCGATCACTCAGTATCATGAATACATTCTTCGAAAAAAGACTAGAACGGAAGTGGACATGGAAGTCGCCTTCTGACGTCAAAAACGAAATTGACTTCATAATTTCAAATAGGCGCGATATAATAAAAAATGTAGAGGTTATAAATAAATTAAATGTAGGCAGCGACCATAGAATGGTGAGAGGCGAAATTAAAATACATCTCAGAAGGGAAAGGAACAAACTAATGAGTAAACCACAGCCAAACTTGGCTAACTTGAGGATCAGAGCAACAGAATTTAGCCTAAACATCCAAAACAGATATTCACTCCTCCGCGACGAAGATCTCAACATCGACCAAATCTATAAACAGTTCAATGACATAATAAAAGAAGCTGCACTTGAAGTAGGCGGAAAGAACGACAATCGAAGCTCAGCAAGCTCTCGGTAGAAACTAAACAGCTTATGCAAAAACGTAGAGACATGAAAGTATCGTCAAATAGGGACAAGATAGAATTGGTTGAACTAACCAAGACCATAAATAAAAAGAGAGGGAAGATGTACGGAAATTCAATACTCAAATAATAAATGAAGCAGTGATTTCAGGTACCAGCATGAAAGCAGCTAAAGAAGACTAGGAATAGGAGAAGTCAAATGTATGCAATTAAGAAACCAGACGGAGAAGTAACACATAACAAGAATGAAATCATCAAAGTAGTGAAGACTTTTACAGGGATCTATACAACTCAAACGAACAGCCACAAATAGAAGCAAACGCGGTAACTAGCGACGTACCTAATATCACAAAAAGAAATAAAAAGAGCACTTAAAGGCATGAAGAGAGGGAAAACACCAGGTGAAGACGGAATTAGTATAGACCTCATATTAGATGCAGGAGACATCGCAACAGTGAAACTAGCCAATCTTTTTAACAAATGTCTTCTCAGCGGAAAAACTCCGAAAGCCTGGAAAAATGCAACAATTATCTTGTTACACAAAAAGGCGACAAAAAGGATTTAAAAAATTACCGACCCATAAGCCTCCTTTCGGTTACTTACAAACTGTTCACGAAAGTCATTACAGCTCGCATCTCTGACAGTCTGGATTCCAGCCAGCCTAGAAACAGGCAGGCTTCCGCAGCGGATTCTCAACAACAGATCACATCCACACGCTCACCCAATAAGAGAAAAAGTAAACGAATATAGGAAACCCCTGTGTATGGCATTCATCGATTATGAAAAGGCATTTGACTCTGTACAAATACCAGCAGTATTAGGTGCTATGCAACAACAGGGAGTTGAGGAGGTATATTGTAATATATTGGAAGATATATACAAAGATGGGACAGCAACCATCAAACTCCACACAGAAACCGATAAAATACCAATTAAAAAAGGCGTTAGACAGGGCGACACCATCTCACCAAAGCTGTTT